AGTCATACTAGAGAATTAATAGCACAGCTGAATGTTCTAGAACAAAAGAAGCAAACTCCCCAGGAGGAGCAGACGCCAGGAAATAATCAAATTGAGGGCTGAAATCAATCAAGTAGAAACCAGGAAAACATTGAGAAGAATCAATGAAACAAAGAGTTGGTTCTTTGAGAAAATCAACAAAATAGACAAACCTCTGTCCAAACTAACCAAAAGACAGAGAGAGAACATGCTAATTAACGAAATCAGGGATGAGAAAGGGGACATAACAACGGACTCTGAGGAAATCAAGAGAATCATCAGGGCATACTTTGAAAATCTGTACTCCACAAAATTTGAAAATTTAAAGGAAATGGACAATTTCCTGGATAGATATCACTTGCCAAAACTAAATCAAGAACAGATAAATAATCTAAACAGACCTATAACCACTAATGAAATAGAAGCAGTCATCAAAAGTCTCCCAAACAAAAAAAGCCCAGGCCCAGATGGCTTCAGTGCAGAATTCTACCAGAAATTCAAAGAAGAGCTCATTCCAATACTCGTCAAAGTATTCCACACTATAGAAGCAGGAGGCTCACTGCCAAACTCTTTTTACGAGGCTACAATTACCTTGATACCCAAGCCACACAAAGACACAACTAAGAAAGAGAACTATAGACCAATTTCCCTCATGAACATTGATGCAAAAATACTCAATAAAATACTTGCAAACCGGATTCAAGAACACATCAGAAAAATCATCCACCATGATCAAGTAGGCTTCATTCCAGGAATGTAGGGATGGTTCAACATTAGAAAATCTATCAATGTAATCCACCATATTAATAATCTGCGAAAGAAAAACCACATGATCATCTCACTAGATGCTGAAAAAGCCTTTGACAAAATCCAGCACCCCTTCATGATAAAGGTCCTAGAGAGATCAGGGATAACAGGAACGTACCTGAATATAATAAAAGCAATATACAGTACACCAACAGCTAACATCAAACTAAATGGAGAGAAACTCAAAGCAATTCCTCTAAAATCAGGAACAAGACAAGGCTGTCCACTCTCTCCATATCTCTTCAATATTGTACTTGAAGTTCTAGCTACAGCAATAAGACAACAAAAGGAGATAAAGGGGATACAAATAGGAAAAGAAGAAGTCAAACTTTCATTATTTGCAGATGATATGATAGTTTACATAAGTGACCCAAAAAGCTCCGCAAGGTTACTCCTAGAGCTGATAAACACCTTCAGCAATGTGGCAGGATACAAGGTAAACTCAAAAAAATCAGTGGCCCTATTATATACAGATGATGAAGTGACTGAGAAAGAAATCAGAGAAACATCACCTTTTACAATAGCCAAAAACAGCATCAAATATCTGGGGATAATGTTAACCAAGGAAGTGAAAGACCTGTATATCAAGAACTTTGTGTCTTTGAAGAAAGAAATCAAAGAAGATACCAGAAAATGGAAAGATCTCCCATGCTCTTGGATTGGTAGGATCAACATAATAAAAATGGCAATCTTGCCAAAAGCAGTCTATAGATTCAATGCAATCCCTATCAAAATTCCATCACAATTCTTCAAGGACCTGGAAAGAACATTAATCAACTTTATATGGAAAAACAAAAGGCCCAGGATAGCTAAAACATCCCTATACAATAAAGGACCTTCAGGAGGCATCACCATACCTGACTTCAAGCTCTATTATAGAGCTATAGTCCTGAAAACAGCTTGGTATTGGCACAAAAATAGGCAGGTAGACCAATGGAACCGAATCGAAAGCCCTAATTTTAACCCACACACCTATGAACACCTGATTTTTGACAAAGAAGCTAAAACTGTACAGTGGAAAAAAGAAAGCATCTTCAACAAATGGTGCTGGCATAACTGGGTAGTGGTATGCAGAAGACTGCAGATAGATCCATGTTTATCGCCTTGTACAAAACTTAAGTCCAAATGGATCAAAGATCTCAACATACATCCAGCCACACTGAAACTTTTAGAAGAGAAAGTGGGAGATACTCTTCAACGAGTTGGTACAGGAGACCACTTCCTAAACATAACACCAGTGGCACAGGCACTGAGATCAACAATTAACAAATGGGACCTTCTGAAACTAAAAAGCTTCTGTAAGGCAAAGGACACAATCAAAAAGACAAAAAGGCAGGCCACAGAATGGGAAAAGATATTCACTAACCCTACATCTGACAGAGGGCTAATCTCCAAAATTTACAAAGAACTCAAGAAACAAGTCTCCAAAACACCAAAGGATCCACTTGAAAGGTGGGGTACAGAGCTAAATAGAGAATTCTCAGTAGAGGAGGCTAAAATGGCCAAGAGACACTTAAGAAAGTGCTCAACATCCTTAGCCATCAGGGAAATGCAAATCAAAACAACTCTGAGATACCATCTTACTCCTGTCAGAATGGCTAGAATCAAAAACACCAAAGACAATTTATGCTGGAGGGGATGTGGAGAGAGAGGAACACTCCTCCACTGCTGGTGGGAATGCCGACTCATACAGCCTCTTTGGAAAGCAGTATGGAGATTCCTCAGGAAAATGGGAATTAATCTACCACTAGACCCAGCAATTCCACTCTTAGGCATTTATCCAAATGAGGCAGGTTCATACAACAAGGGCATCTGCTCCACTATGTTCATAGCAGCATTGTTTGTAATAGCCAGAACCTGGAAGCAACCTAGATGCCCCTCAACTGAAGAGTGGATAGAGAAAATGTGGTACATTTACACAATGGAGTATTACTCAGCAGAAAAAAACAATGGAATCTTGAAATTCGCAGGGAAATGGATAGCACTGGAAGAAACCATCCTGAGTGAGGTAACCCAGTCGCAAAAAGACAAACATGGTATGTACTCACTCATATATGGATTTTAGATATGGATCAGGATAGTGCCAGTCTGCACTTCCACAGATAGAGAGTCTGGGAAACAGGAAAGAACCTAAAAGATATGCATATATGCATAGTACCCAAGAGAAGAGGATGGAGACAAGATCCTCTGAATGGATGGGGAACAGGGCGAGGGGGGGTAGTGGGACCTGGGAAGAATAGAGGGGGTAAAGAGGAAGGGAGTTGGTCATGGGGGAACAGGAAATTGAGGGGGTGGGGGTAGAATAGGGGGAAGAGGGAATCATAGGATCGAAGACAGATCAGGCACCAGAGTGACCTCGAGTGATCTAAAGGTATAACATCAATTGGCAAGCTAAGCAATAGTGGAAGGACCACCTCGAATGCCCATTCCTGATAATGAACTTGATGTCTATAACTATCCGGGAGCCTACATCCTGGGACTGATGGAAGCAGAGGCAAACACACAACTAAGCACTGAACTGAACCCAAGGAACCCAGTGACAGAGAGAAAGGAATGATGAGCAAATTGGCAAAGAATGGGCTGGCAAAACCAGCAGAGACAGCTGATCTGAACAGGGGAGTGCTCTTGGACCCCAGACCGACAGTGGGGAGGCCAGAATGGGACTGATCTGGACCCCCCAAATGTGAGTGTCAGTGAGAAGGCCTGGACAACCTATGGGGCTCTGAGCTGTGGATCAGTGTCTATCCCTGGTATACAATCTGTCTTCATGTGCCTATAGCACAAAGAGAGATGCTCTCTCAGCCTGGACTCTTAGGGGAGTGCCTTGACCCTACCAAGAGTAAAATGATAGACTCTAGACATCCCCTATGTGGAAGGATTTGGCAATAGGGTGGGAGGGAGGGTGGAAGGGGAGTGCGGGAGGAGGGGAGGGAGAGGGAACTGGGATTGACATGTAAAACAAGCTATTTAAAATTAAAATAAAAAATAAATAAATTTTATTTATTTTAATATTAAAAAATTCCAGCTCCTGTAATTCTTCACAAAATATGTAAAAAAGTATTGTAAAATCACACTCTACGGCTGTTCCAATCTGTAATTATTTGGCTAAAGGCTTTCTCCATATTCAATCTATTGGTGGGAATTAGATTTAGAAGCAGCCCAAAAACATATATTAATCTGACAATAGTTGCTTGTATAATTAATACATCCTGATAAATTATATATGTATTTAATACATTTCGAGTATTCCAAAGACATGACATTTTTACCATATGTGATTTTGACTGTTGAATTGGGATTTTTGCTTATTAGTTGGCTCTTGTAAATTGTGTAAAGCTTAAAGACAGACAATGACATCTGACAAAAAGCATTGTGGTACAAAGACTGGGCAACTGTGATAAGATTAAGGAATGTCCTGAAGATGGAAGGGTCAAGGAAAACATTGGCAGATGGTAAGGCAACTTTAATTAGTAAGTAGACTTGTTTTCAACATTTTTCCAACCCATCCTGTTAAAAACATTGATCTCACATTGCTATTTTCTCAAGAAACAGTTAGTTGCCAATAAAATTTATCCCTATTCTACTATTTTATTCCCATATCTTAAGTTCTCTCTAAGCCTTATTTTTATGACAGGTATAGGAAATAGACAAAGTATCTTCATGAGCAGATGCAGTGTCTGATATATTCATTGACCACTGAAAGGCACGAAGTGACAGACACTTTATTCTTTAGGCTATGTTATGAAAGAGGTAGAAAAATTCCTGCATATTTGAGTGATTTAAGAGTCTTCCATAATGTTGTTCACTACTGAGAAAATGAACTGGGAAAAAGGTTGCAACATGAACAAAAGTACAGAGTTCTTCTGACTTTACTATTCAAATATAGTAAAATAAAATACATGTAATGAAATGGGGTTGTCCATATTAGAGGTACTGGAGCACATCAAATGAAGATGAGAAACTCAGATTTATTCACATGGAAGAAGTCCTAACAAGCTTGGTTGAAATGGCTGAAGAACAGTTGGGTAGAGCCTCATCAATTGCCAGGTACTGTTGTCTGGGAGGCTTCTGTTGCAAGGCACAGGGTTCTAGAACTTTGTCCACCGGAGACAAAAGAGAACCCTTGAGTTCCCTTTATCCTGTGTGGTCTCAGAAGATAATGCTACAGCAGAGCCAGAACTAGAGATATGAACATCACTGTGTCGTAGCAGGTCATTCAGCAGTGTCATTCCACAGAAGACAACGACAGATGATTACCAGGTGACTAAATATACAACCCATAATCCCTTGCCAATTTTTTAAAATTAGGGGGGAATGATATTTCCTTTAATATTTTCTGCTTTTCTCTCTTTCATTGGTGACTCACTAGAGTTCTAGAGTTTTTGTCATTCTGTAGTTTTTCATGTCTATGTGTAGAACATGTTACTGGGGAAGACAGTTCTACACATAGAAAAACCTGCAATTTATATTTTTGAAGATTAAAGAGCATACTCATTTTTAAAAATGTTTCTGCATCATATATGATGTTTGATGTTGAATAATCATAACAAGGAAACTGCTAGGTAATCTGAGTTTACTAAACTGCTTTGAATTTTCATGAAAGTGCTGAACTTCATGAGAGTATTTCTTCATTTAGCCAGATGATGTTGTTTTTAAACATGGTCTCATGAATTTCAGGCTGAGCTTGAACTTGCTATGTAGTTTTGAACTACTGGTCCTCTTTCCTGTAGCCCTGAGTGCTAAAATTATAATCCTCAAAATAAGAAGCATAGCATACTTGGTGGTTAGTACATGTGCTTGTGTAATGCATATAGTGCTTTATGCTGTTTTTAATTTGATTAAACTCATATTCCCTAAATGACAGAGAACCTGGAAGTTAAGTTTCTAGTTATTGATGAAAATAATGGAAAAAACAATAGATAAAAGATGGTATTTGATAGTTGTCTGGAAGACTCCGTTAAGGTCATTCTGTACCAGATTTTCAATAAAAGTATTGTATTTTGTCAAGACCTTTGGGCTCCAGAATCATTTTAATACAGTAATTTAATGAATGCTAAGTCAGGCTTGTACAAACATGCTTTCCAGGTTTTATCCTGTTACATATTTCTGAAATACCTTTTTAATATAAGATCCTGAGGCCCACATTGGTACAGTTTTAACAGGACTACATTAAAAATGTATATCATTTTTATACAACACAAATCTATGGTCTCTAATAATTATGAAATATCATTCAAAACCATATTGAACAGTGACTTTGCATGTCAAATTCTAAATCCCAAGTTCAGGATTGCCTTCAAAATCTATTTCACTAAAGAATTATCTTCTATGGCCTTTTGGCACTGTGTGTAGCAATTCACATTTTTTTCTTAGTTTTTCTCTACTGTTAGGACAATTCTTGTTTCTATGAAAATGAGCATACTAGATGCGAGAGACAGATGAGTTGGTAAAGGAGATGCATCATAATCATGAAGACTCAAGTTTGAACACGAGCATATTCTTAACAGCCAGGCACCACCAACATCATGTGTTTGTCTGTCCAGCCATCTTTAGTGTGTTTAAAAATATACGTGAGATTGAGAGAGAAAATGAAACGGCAAAGGGGTATATAAATACAAAAGCCGGCGTTGTGGTGGCGCACGCCGGTAGGATTTACTCCAGAGGCAGAGGCAGGCAGGTTTCCAAAGAGAAACCCTGTCTCAGAGAAAAATAAATAAAAGTGAAAGAAATAGAGTAATAATAATTAATAGATAAATAAATAAGCCACGTAAAGATGGAAAACACACAGAGAGTCTGGATACTGTATGCTATTATGTTTTTCAGTTTTTTGCTTGCTCAGGAAGGAACTGCTACTAAAGTACACTTGATTATAAATGCTGCTGAATTAATCCAAGTTCTATCTTTTAAAAATGCCTTGACTTCAAAATTTAAGTATAATGATATGTTACTTGGGAAAGGAGATTTTACTTATGTTTCTACAGAAAATGAAAAGCTGAAGATTCCTTCCAGGCTTCTGTGGTTTGACGAACCAAGACCCCCGGAAGCAGTGGGCCAGATGTTTCAACAATTGAGACAGCTAAGATGATGGAGTTTTACAGACCCCGAAAATACGGACTTACACAGGTTTCTGAGTTTTGTCATGATCCCCACGGTATGAACAGCGCCCCCTTCCAGCAGGAAGCAGTTTGGAATGAGCGACGTCCTGATTCCCATCTTGTTTATAAATCTTTGTTTTCATTTAAATGGGATTGTTTATAATTGGTTAATGATCACAACCAATCTATTCTTAAAGGAAAAAGGGGATTATGGTATGGAAATGAATACTTTGTATTGATATGGTTTTTCATTTATTGATACAAATTCAAGGTCAATTTTGTGATGTGTGTATTTCTCCTCTTGATTAAGTATTGTGCTTATACTGGTCTTTTAAAACGTAATGCATAATGGAATACAGACTATAGATAGTTACTTATAATAGAATTTATAGTTAGGTAAGTTAGGTTTTCTAGATATACAAAAATATATTTGAGAAAGATCGTCTTCAAACCTTTCAAAGACCTTCAGAAAATGGCATTTAAAATGGTTTAGGGTTTTTCTTGACAATGAGAAATGTCTGCTCCTGGCAGCACCAATTACGTCTGAGAGGAAGATGGGCATCGAAGAAACTTGTTATGGAGTTTGCTTTCAACATGGCAAGATTAGCCATTTGGGCAAGAAACTGCTCTTGCCTGTACTGCTTGACTGTTGTTGTATAATCTGGACATGAAGGACCCATAGGAAAGTGACAGCTGAACTCAGTCTTACAGGGTTCCTGCTTCATGGAAGAGTCTACGAGACTTTCTGCAGGACAAAGAAAAATGACTGACAGACTGCCAATGCAGATGGACAGTTTTGAAATGTCCTGCTTTGCTGAGAAATCTTCTGGATACATTGTGGCCTATGGGCTGAAGATGGATGCCCCAACGTTACAGAGGAACTTTGGGTGACTGTCCAGGTAGCAAGATGTCTCTGTCAATTCTAGTGTTTATATATTATCCTTCTGTGGTCTTTGATGGAGTTGAAGACAGATAGCTATAATTATAGTTTTCCTTAGTTATGATAAGAGATAAGCTACATATAGGACTTTGGACTCACAAGAATGAGATAGATGATATTTTCTTTAAATCTTGCTAAAATATTGTGACTATGTTCTTATTTGATAACTGTTCTGTTATATATAATTTGACTATGCTAAAGTTAAGACCTTTCTTTTTGTTTAAACAGAAAAGAGGAGATGTTGGGGAAGTCCTGTGCATTTGTCAATAAAGTACTGTCTGGCCAATAGGGAATCTAGATAGGAGGGACTAGGAGTCCAGGAGGACTCTGGGTAGGAGAAACACGAGGAGTCGAGATGTAATGCCATTGGGGTAGGAAGCCCGGAAACCTCTCCGGTAAGAGACATACTTAGATTAACAATTATGGAGTAATTACTTAAGTCAGAGCTAGCCAGTAAGAAACAAGCAAGGCCAGCAGCTTCATAATTAATACAGCGTCTTGTGTGTTTATTTGGGGACTACAATGCGGCAGAGCCCGGGTGGCTGGCGGGGGATAAACCAAAGCGGCTAGCAAAGAAAAAGCTTCTCTTAACATTATCCAGTAAATTCAGCAGCTGTAGTAATGCTTGGTTTGTAACATTTTCAGAAGATGTGTTTGAATGATGTAACACTTGAAAAAAGACTAGTGACTCTGAAGCAATGTTGGAATAGTTGGATTGGACACAGAGAGTAATGTCACTGTGGATCCTCTGAATACTAAAAAAGTGACTAAGGTTGTCAAGAGCACTGCCTTCTGCAACCTGATGTTCCCTTTATTGGTGATCTCTACACCAACCTCATATTGTTGTGTTACTGTAGCACTGTAGTTTGACTTAAAATTGGGATTAGAATATCTCCAATAGGGTCTTGTGGCTCTTGTTGTTCATAATGATTTTGAGTAATTAACAATCATTATCACTAAATAATTATCTTGAATAGGAAATGTTAAATAAATAATTATTTTGAATATTAATTATTAAATTATTTATTTAATGTGAGTGTTATTTTCAGTGACTTTGCTTAATAGATTTATCAACTATAATAGTCTTATGGTGGAGATATTAGGGACTTTTACATATGCTTCGTCTTCAAATAAGGATACTTTGACATAGTACTGCTGTATATCCTACACTTCTCTTATTGGTCTAGTTAAACCTTCAAGCATTGTATTTAATAGATATAAGAAGAATACACATCCTTTCCTTGTTCATGAGTTTCATAGAGATGCATCTAAGATGGTGTCTGTAGATTGCTTTAGGTACAATGTCCATATATATTATATTGATCCCACTGCTCCATGAGCATTGGAGATCTTTCCATACTCTGGCATCTTCTTCAGTTTCTTTGTTCCATGTCTTAAAGATTTTGTCATACAAATCTCTTGCTTGGTTGGTTATAGTTAGACCAAGCCTTTTTTCACAAACACACCCCACAGCCATTGTGAAAAGCTGTTACATCTCTGCTTTCTTTTCTAGTCCATTTGTCACTTATCTTTTGGAAGCCTATTGAGGTTTGCATCCATTGTAGCAGAAATTGCATTTGCCAGCTTAGCCATCATCTCTTTGTCCTTTTTCCAAAAAATGACGGAAAGATTTCAAGTTGGTGAGTCAATGTGTTTCATTGGAGTCACTCCCAAGAATACGGACTAGTGGTATCATTCAGCATAGGAAATAGCTCAGATACAGCTAAATTAGCAAAAGTCCAATATAGCATGGGTTCATGAAACCTAGAAACCTAGAGCATACCACACAAGTGACACTGTTCACCAGGCAGGAGAAGGTCGTTTCTAGACAGTACACTTGGCCTGGGGCAATACGAGGCAGCCCAGTCTTTCTCTACTCCTTCCAGGAAGTTCAGCTGGTCTCTAGCTCCTCCAGGTAGATCAGCTGTTTTGAGACTCTCAGCAGTTCTTATTACTTACATATGCTCCTAAAGAAGAGTCCTAGTGAATTTGGTTAGTGAAGTGAACAGTTTACTTCCTGAGCTTAACAAACTGCATCAGTAGCTGGAATGTTTCACTAATCCATAGAAATTCCTTCTGTTTCATCTTCTTTTCAACATCCTGTGGTTGAACAAGCCCCCCATCTTAGAACATTCTTTTGGTTCTCATTCCTTTCAGTACCCTTAATCTTAAAGATCATTCCCTTACTGATACAAGAAGAAACTACCACACAATAATCCCTCTCACCCATGCCAGAATGCTGGGTGGCTTGAATCTAATTCTGGTGTTGTTCACATAACTTCTATTGTCGTGAGCTCATGATTTCAACAGCTACATTCTCTCAAAAGAGAGTGTACCCTTTTCATCTTAAGTTATTTTACAACCCCTTTCTGTGATGTTCCCCTAAGCCATTTTGGGAAGAGCACACAGAAGTCATTTATTCTAAGCAGTTAGGTCAATAATTACTTTCTGAATTAATCAATGCCCATTATAAAATATAATTCTTCTGAAAAAGATCGAGACCATTACTACTCTATGGAAATAAACATTTTGAAAACAAATTGACAACACAATAAGTTAATAAAACAACACTAGTAATTTCTCTCCTGGAGACTGTTGTGGGAACACATTTTTTAGTATATACTTCTGTTTTTCTCTTAGCAACAAGGCAGTTTTGTTACTCTGGTTCTATGATATAGTTTTAACTGAAGGAATAGTAAGGGTTAGTATTTAGGTATTTGTCCTGGCGTGTCTTTGGAGTTCTGACAAGATACACTCTCAGCTGCTGTTACTAAGAAAAGCACCTGTTCCCTTTTCAAAGGGCCCTGACCACCTCTCTCCCCCCCACTCTGTTCCTCTCTGTCTCTTCTCTCTCTCTCTCTGTTTCTCTCTCTGTCTCTCTCTCTGTCTCTCTGTCTCTCTCTCTCACACACACACACAGGCACACACAGACACACACAGACACACAGACACACAGACACACACACACACACACACACACACACACACACACACACACAATCAAAGAAACTCCTGGAATCTATTTGGTTTAGTTCAGGTATGCCTGAGCATTTGCCCTTTCTGAATGATAGCTGATATACATCATGACAATCTATTGAAGGATACTGTTTTTCTCTCTCCCACAAGCTATTAATTCTAAATAGCTTCTTGGATATGGATAGGACTTTGTGCTCCTTTCCCATTAACCCTAATGAGTTTTGCTTTATTAGAGGTACTGCAGACACACCATAATCACCAACGCCTTCTCTGTCAGTTCTTTTGTATACCAGCCCGGTGTCTATAAACTGCTAATTCGTTGGAATCATCTTCCTCTAGCTCTTATAGTCTCTCTGCCTTCTCTTCCATATAATTCCCAGAACATTGAGGGTAGGGGAAATGATACAGACATCCCAACTAGGGCTGTGTGCTTCAAAGTAGCATACTCTCTGCATGAGGTCCTATCATGGGTCTCTTTGTTCATTTCCACCTACTAAAAGGAAAAGCTTCTCTGATGAGGGTTCAATCATGTAGTGATCTACAAGCATAGCAGAGTGTCATTAGGAGTCACTTTATTGCTATGTTCTTTAAGCATAATGTTTGTTATGGGATCTCCCCTTGGACTCATGACCAATCTAGTTACAGATTTTGACCACTTTAGCAGTGTCAGAGTTTTATAGAGTTTATATGGAGTTACCAAATAATGACGGATTCTCCTAAAGTGCACCTTAAAGGCAATACAATCTTTGGGAGGCTTACACATACAATATTTGTGGCTCCATTTCACTGGACGATATATGGTGCCAGGACATTGCTATTGGAGCATACAAAGTACATAGTTGGTGAGAATGGTGACTTCAGGAAGTATGAACATTAGTCAAAAGGAGGAAAGAGTGTGATTAGACACGAGTGACATTTATCCTGATCTGATGACATAAGTATTTTTTACCTTCGGAAAAGGTTTTCACCACTAGGTTATGAAGAATAACCAATAGCGCTGGCAATACTCTATAACATTTGGGTTTTCTATGGTACCCTATTAAATGACAAAAATTCAAAAAGATGAAATCAGTGGTTGGTGCTGAGAGGGTAACTGGGACAAACAAATGTCTTTGGGGGGGCATTGTGTCTCTCATGATATGACAAGTCTATATAAACTCTATACAAATTAGGAATGTTTGTGGTAGATTTCCACGTGGAGTTTCAAAAGGCCATTAGTGTTCGTTATCCCTCCTCATCTCTTCCCATGTCTTGTTCCTCTCCCAATTCATCCTCTTTTGATTTCTTCCTTATCCAATTATAGCACTATGTTCTCTTTCCCCTCCTTGGAAGGACCTCTCTTTCTCTTCTCTAGCCCTTTCCTGGCTACCTAACTTGTGTGGATAGTCCAAATGAAACAAACATTGTTAAGGCATAAAAGGCACCACCCAAAAAGAAGAGAAAGTATGCAATGTTTATTATGGGGTGTCTGGGTTGCTTCAATAAAGATATTTGTCTCTAGCTCCAACCTCTTATCTGTAAATTCTATAATTTCATTTTCCTTAACCGCTGAACAATATTGTCTAACCTAGGTAGGCTGTCTCTATTTCCTGACTACTATAAATAGAGCATCAGTGACCATGGGTGATCAGGTATTTCTGTAGAAATATGTCAACTGTTTGGACAGATGCTCTGGTGTGGTAGAACTGGAGCTTGTGCTCAATAATTCTCAGCTTTATGAGAAACCTTCAGACTGTTTTCCAGAATGCTCTATCAGTTTGTGCTCCCACAAGCAATCAATGAGTGTTACCTTTTTTCCATAGCCTCCGGAGCATCTGCTGCTGTTTGTTTCATTGATCTTGGCCATCCTGATTTAGGTAATATAAAATATCAAAATTAACTGGATTTCATTTAAAACTACAGAGCTTCAACATTTTATGTGTTTCACAACCATTTTTTGACTCATCTTTTGAGAACACTCTGTTTAGTTCTATACACCATCTATAATTAGGTTATTCATTTCCTGAATGTCCAGTTTATTTGAGATCTTTGGATATTCTTATTAATGACCCTTTTTGAGATGTACAATCACTAGAGTTTGGCCCATCCTGTTGGTGCCTATTTGCTTGAATGATAGTTACCTTTGCTATACAGTAAGTTTTTAGTCTCGTAAGGATGATTAATGATTAATGCAGAAAGCCACAACTCTATTGGGCAATGCTACCTGAGGTTTGGTAGTCCTACATGTATATTTAGGTTGTGAAAGCTATGAGGAGCAAGTCAGTAAATAGCACTTCTCCATGGCTTCTGCTTCAGTTCCTGCCTCCAGCTTTCTGACCTGCTACAGTGTTTTCCTGACTTCACAGTGATGGACTATGAGATGAGTTTGTAAGCAGGAAGAAACGTTTTCTCACCAAATTCCCTTTGGTCATGGCGTTTTATGCCAGAAATATCATTCTACGGAAGGAGAATATACATTGATATGTCATGATTCAAGTTAGTGTGGAGGCTCTTTAAAAACCTGAAAAATCAATCAACTGAATACCCAGCTACACCACTCTGAGGCACATGCTCAACTGGCTCTGAATCTTATTACAAAGTTACTTGCTAATTCACATTTGTTGCTTCTCTGTGTATAGTAGCCAGTAATTCAAAAAAGCCTGCCTGCCCATCATGTTAAAATAGAAATTTTATCATATATGACTTTTACTCACAAAATAGTTTTTTTCTTAATAATGAAATTTTATGATGCAATTCACAGTTCATTTAAATGGACTAAAATTTGGACATTGGATATAATGGTAAGTAACAAATAGCATAATGTTCACTCCTCAAGGAAACACCAGACTGAAGCAGTATCTTGAAGCTAATCATTCCTTAACAACATGAGATAAAGTTTGACTCTGAGGACATCACATTATTGAGATTCTGATCTCTAAATCCACCAGACAACAAATTTAAGCTACTTAATGCAGACAAGTTCATATTACCTTATAATGAACACTATAGAAAACTTTTAACAGTGGAAAAATCAGCTGGGTGGTGGTGGTGGCAAACACCTTTAATGCCAGCACTCGTGAGGCAGAGGTGGGCAGATCTTTGAGTTCAAGGCCAGCCTGGTCTACAAGAGCTAGTTCCAGGACAGCTAGAGCTGTTACACAGAGAAACCCTGTATTAAAAAAAAACAAATAAACAAACAAAAAGAGTAGAAAATCAGGTCAAATTTGGACTATTTACAAACAAGTTGTTAGGATGTATAGAATAAACAGTTTTGAAAATCCAAAGAAGGGGCATCAGCCTGGGAATCCAGCATGGGACTGATCAATACCCCCTGAATTTGGGTGTCAGTGAGGAGGCCTAGGGAATCTATTTAGCCTTGGGCAGCAGATCAGTACCCATCCCAAGTATACACACGGACTTTGGACTCCCATAGAACAATGTGAGGTGCATTCTCACCCTGAACTCTTGGGGAAGGGTCTAGGCCCTGCCCTATATGAAATGACAGACTATGGACACCCCCATGGAGGGCCTCACCCTCCCTGGGGGAATGAGGGGATAATGGGGGGTTGGGGGGGGAGGGCACGGGAGGAGGGGAGGGAATGAGAGAGGGACCTGGAACTGACTTGTGAAGCAACCTCGTTTCTTATCTAAATTTAAACTGGAAAATAAAAAAAAAAGAAAATCCAAAGAAGGTCATAGCGCAGATATGGAAATAAGAAGGAAGGGCCAAGGAAGAACACTAGCATGTAGCAAGCTTCCAGGTATGACCAAGTTTAATTAGCAAATAATTAAAATTACTCTTATGTTGATAATGCAGAACAGTTACTAATTGCGAGTGGAAGCACAAGCTAGTATACCCTTTATGGAATCAGTGTGGAGGCTCCTCAAAAAATTGACCTGATTTTACTCCAAGGTCTATCTGTATAAATCAGAAGCATGAACTACATCTTACCATAGAGATAATTGCTCATCCTTGTTACTTCATATTATTTGCGTGAATGATGGCAAAAGATGACCATTACCTGCTGAAAAGATAACAAAATCTAGTATTGTTAGACTATGGGATAGTATTCAGTTGTTAAAAAATAAAATTTACAAGTAAACATATGGATATAAAAATAATCATCTTGAGGAAGTTAAGCCAGACCAATAAAGACAAGTATTACACATTTTTCCTAAATGTGGGTTAGATACATGTGTTTGACTTAGAATGAAAACAGCAGTTAGGTGTCTAGTAAAGGACCAGAGGAAAAAAGAGGATCTTCCCAGGAAGGATTTGTAGAATGTAGAATTATAACAAAGTAATGGAGACATTAGAACAGAAGTATTAAAGGGTGTGGATGATGGGAGGACTGAATAAAGGCAGGAATATAGAGACTAATAGCTAACAATAAGGCTGTAAAGAAATTGTATGAAACCTACAATTGTAAACACATTCAAAATATGTACGTATATGAAAGGAATTTAAATGGAGTTACCATATAATGAGAAAAACTGGACATCTAAAGTTATCATATTAAAACTCCAGTACCTAGAGTGGGTTACATCTTTTTGAATTGTTGTAGTGTTTCATAGAGCCCTAATCAATACAGGATGTTGCTCATTTGATTGGTAACCAACTAGAGTTAATGGCAAGACTATTGATTATGATACCACACTTATGGTATTTAACATAGAGAAACTTGTTTCTGTTATTTTCCCTCACCAGCTTAGAAAACACACTGGTCTCAGACTGATATTTTCTCAACTATATACCAAAGAAATTGAATCCTACACAGTTACCCCTCTAATTCCAAGTTCATGAATTAATGTTAATAAGTTGTATGAAATAGACAATATATACATCTACATGCACAAGGGTGCAAAGCCTCTTAGATACTTATTGACCTCAGGAAGGTAAACTAATGGTAGACAATTGATCCCATAGAGCACTGGCTCTCAACATGCTAATGTTGTGCGGTAACAACCAACAATAAAATTACGCTCATTGCTTCTTTGTAGCTTTAATTTTGTTACAGTTATGAATTGTAATATAAATTTTTATGTCTTTAAATGGTCCGGAGAGACCCATGTGAAAGAGTCATTTCACCCTCAATGGGATTATGACACCCAGATTGAGAATCACTGCTTTAAATTATTTTCTAGAAGTCATGGAATTATTTTCTAGGATTCCAAATATTTGAGCATTCCATATTAGATTCAACACTGTGTAAATAAATAGCAAAAATATTTATAATATAAATAAAAACACAGAGTTCAGCTTATTTTACAGTATATGAGGACAATTAAAGTAAAGAATTGAAATTTATTCACTCTGGAGATAGTAGAGGATAGCATATAAGGGGAAGGAAGTCGGGCTTACTCACATGGAACAGAAACCAAAAAACATGTTGAAGTGGTAGAGGCATATTTGGGAAGAGGACGGCCTCTATCCATGCAAGAGGAAAGCCACTAGGGTATTAGACCTACCTGCTCCCACCTACTTGAAAGGAACCATAGTCATATACCCATCAGGAGAGGAAGAGACTCCTTCTGCACCCACAGTAAGAAATGATGGGAAGGAGAAAATATACAAACACACCCAGCAACAGAAAAACCAATACAACACTGCCAGAGACCAGAGACATTACACCCTCAAGACCTGAACAGCAGATGAGAAAGACCTTAAAAACAACTTCATGAAAATGATAGAGGCCCTCAAAGAGGACATGAGAAAATCCCTTAAAGAAATGGAAGAAAAAAACAACCCAAAAAATGTAAAAATTGCAAGAAATAGAAGAAAAGACAAACCAAAAAATTCAAGAAATGCAAGAAAGAGAGGAAAAGACAAAGCAAAAACTGCAAGAAACAATTCAAACAGTGCAAGGGTTGAAAGCTGAAATAGAGAAAATTAAAAAACACAGTCTGAAGGAATGCTGGAAATAGAGAAACTGGGGAAATAGTCAGGTATTACAGATGCAAATAACCAACAGAATACAAGAAATGAAAGAGAGAATCTCAGATGTTGAAGATGCACTAGGGGAAATAGATTCATTGACCAAAGAAAATCTTAAATCCAACAAATCCCTAACACAAAATATCCAGGAAATTCTGGGACACCGGGAAAAGACCAAACCTAGAATAATAGGTTAGAAGAAGTTTAAGAAAACCGTCTCGAAGACGCACAAAACATATTCAACAAATCTTTGCAACCTAAAGAAAAACATGCCAATGAAAGTACAAGAAGCCTACAGAACACCACATAGAGTGGACCAAAAAGGAAGACCTCTTGCCACATAGCAGTAAAAACCCCGAACACACAAAATAAAGAAAGAATATTAAGAGTAGCAAAGGAAAAAGGCCAAGTGAGATACATAGGCAAACCTATCAGAATCACACCTGATTTCTCCATGGAAACTCTGAAAGCCAGAAGGACCTTGAGATTCTACCAAGATTAAGAGACCATGGACGCCAGCCCAGACTGCTATACTCAGCACAACCTGCAATCAATATAGATGGAGAAAACAAGATATTCCATGATGAAACCAGATTTAAACAATACGTATCCACTAACCCAGCCCTACAGAAAGTTCTGGAAGGAAAACTCCAATCCAAGGAAGTTAATTACAACCAGAAAAACATAGACAATAGATCATCTCACCATACCGACAGCCAAAAGAAAAAAAGAGGTGGAAATCCACATATAATTCCACCACCATCAACCATTCCAAAAACAAACAAGAATGAGCAATAAGTGGTCTTTAATATCCATCAATATTAATGGACTTAACTCACCCATAAAAAGACACAGGATAACAGAATGGATTCAAAGACAGAACCCATCCTTCTGCTACATACAAGAAACACACCTCAGCTTCAAAGACAGACATTACCTCAAAGTTAAGTATTGGGAAAAGATTTTCCAATAAAATGACTCCAAGAAACAAGCAGGGGTAGCAATCTTAATATCTAACAAATTAGATTTTAAAGTGAAATCATTTAGTGGAGTGAGGCATGCCCTTGGGCAGCTGGCCTCTCTCCGGAGGTGAAGTACTTCGGCCTGACCATGTGAGAAACCTTAGCACACCAGATGAATATTTTCATGACCTTAGGTGCTTTCATATTCAGCCCAGAATTCAGAACTCAGGACTTGGCAAGAATTTCTATGTTGTCTTCTCAGTAGGACACCCTGGTTCTTTGATGCAGCCACTTTCCTGGGTGAAATGCAGATGGCTTTCTAAGGGTGCCTCCAAGGTTTGGAGTGGAGAGATTCCTCTTTATTCCACCTCAGACGCAGCACAGGCACACTGGAGCATGCAGAAGAAAAAGCCAGCAGGCAAGAGTCTTCTGCTATAGTCTGCTTCACTAGGAAGATGCAGGTTGCAAGTGGAAGGGAGATGTTTAATTTGAAACAGGCACTTAGATTATGCATCATGAATTCTTCCTTTTAAAAGCTCCAAACAGCAAACTATACAAATACCATGTGTGGATGACTTCAGGTTTCATTTTGTTTTTTAAGTCTGCCAGTTTTAACATTATTATTAGCACAATGAGACTGCAGTGGTAAATTCCAAAGATTCATTATAACTTGAGGTGAAAGAAACATTATCTAAACCCTGGCTCAACCTTTGACAGATTTCTTGGGCAAAAACAAATCTCTGGTATGATTACAGCAAAAAGCAAGAAAGATATCAGGGTTGATTTCACATGGAAGTGAAACCAATGCAGTTTGTATGCAGAGTCACATATTTATATGCATAATTCCACTTTTTTAATATGATTTTTCTCTTGGAGAAGAAAGCTATGGTTTCATGAGAAGACTTTGAACAGTTTGATGGTCTTCAAGTATTTGAGTTTTGTCTCATTTGCTTTGCTTTTCCATCCTCCTCAGAGAGGACCAGCTGGCCTACAGCTAGTTCAGAGTGGGAGGAGACCAGGCTGGGGTGATGCTTGCCTTGAACTGCCAGTACCTGGGAGACTGAGGCAGGAAGATAAGTTCATGTCCAGCTTGAGCCACATGGTAAAACTATTTCAAAAACAGCTGAAAAGGAAAAAATAACTTGGCATATAAATCCTGTCTTCTAAGAAAAAGAAGCAGCGATGTCTTATGTGGCATCATCTGACTTTTCAGCATTTTTACATTATGTTCTTGCATTTTTTATAAAAGCATAAATGACCTCCTTCATCCCAAGATAGGTACTTGAACATTTATTTTTCTAAGTGGTAATGTAACGTAAGGCTGAAATTCTGGGACTCAGGTAAATTTTCCCAGTTTGCATTGAAATTCCTATCAGGGGCCGGGTGGTGGTGGCACACGCCTTTAATCCCAGCACTCGGGAGGCAGAGGCAGGTGGATCTCTGTGAGTTCGAGGCCAGGCTGGACCGACAGACTCCAAAACAATACAGAGAAACCCTTTCTCAAAAAAACCAAAAAAAAAAAAAAAAGAAAGAAAGAAAGAAAGAAAGAAAGAAAGAAAGAAAGAAAGAAAGAAATTCCTACCAGGGAATGGACCTCAGAAGGAATGTTCATGGTCCTGTGGTCAACCAACTCTATCTACTCTTGGAAGAAATTCAGGATCTAAAAAAACTTCAAAAAAAAATAGCGGGTCCAGTAAGAACTGTGGATCCTGTTGCCAGTCACTCTAGATTTAAATGAAATTCAAGTTCGGGGTGAGGAGACCTCAAGAAAACTAGTTCCAAGAAAAAAAAAGAATAAATAAATAAATAAAATCAAAAGAGATGAAGGAGGTGATTTCATACTCATCACAGGGGAAATCCACAAAGATGAAGTTTGAATTCTGAACATATATGCCCCAAATACAAAGGCATTCACATACATAAAAGAAACATTACTAAAACTCAAATCACATTGAAGCCCCACAAACTTATAGTGGGAGACTTCAACACCACACTCTCATCACTGGGCAGGTCTACTAGACAGAAACTTAACAAAAAAAGCAAAGGAACGAATAGAAGTTATGACCCAATTGGGATTAACAGACATCTATAGAACATTCTATCCAAATAAAAAAGAATATACCTTCTTCTC